CCTGATAAGGGCAGAGTTTTTTGACACCAGGATGCGTCATGACATGCCCACTTATCCTGTAGCGATAACAGGAAAAGACAGGCAAGTTTACAGGTGTGGGTACTGACACGGCTTTTGCCCTGCAGCCTCCACCAAGTGTCAGCCAGCTCCTGTATTTTAGGCTGATAGCAGAGGAAGACACAGAGACCAAGCGGTTGTTATAATAACCTCACATATAAACTGTGCTGCAGTTCCGACTTTTCCTTTTCTTTCTTTTTGAATGGGAGGAATTTAGATTTTTTTTAAACTGCTGGAAGCATAGATGGACATCACAGTTCAAACGCTGTAATCCAAGCCCCAACTTTTGTTGAAACCCCCACAGACTGAAGCAGTGTTGACAGGACCTGCCACTAATTAGAGTGGTGCTACGCCAAAGCTGGCTGTGTCTGTACTTGTCGCCAAGGACACCATGTGTTCATGCCTAGCACCCTTTACACTGGAACTTTCACCCCCATCCCTCAGCCACTTCTCCCTTTTCCTCTAATAACACTTAGCAACTTATTTTGTTTTACTGAATGTCAAATAGAAGTTGTTGCTCCTTTGCTCTTTAGAAACCTCTGCAGGTGTGAATATAACATTAGTTTTGACCAGTGCCATGAGCTGTGATGTCATGTTAACAAAAATAAAACAATTTGTTTGCTGATCCCTCTTGTTTTTTATAAAAAGTCTGTCCTAACAGTGTTTTCATGTGTTCATAGTCATGGTCCTTTGCCTCTCATACAAGCCTGACACATTCATACAGTATATCAGCTCTCATCACTTTCAGCTGTGTTATGTATCCTGACAAGAGGGCTGACAGCAGCGGACAGATATTATTCATTGTAACTGATTGTTTCTGCCCTTCAAGCAGGCTGTACCGCTGAGCAGATGGGTTCACTACAAGTTATGTCATGGCCCTGTGTGAGTTTCACTGTATGTATGGGCCTAGATATCATTTGTGGCAAAAGATAGTATGGCTTGAGATGCAGATAAACATTTCTACTGGACTGATAAACACATGATCTCAAAAAGTGAGTTTCCTACATTGTCAGAGGTGTCCTTATACGTCATTTGGGCTACAATTTGAGTTTGAGTTTTTAAAGGATAGATATTTGGATTTTTTTAAATTATTTTTTGGCTTTTGACTTTTATTTGCAGACAGGAAAGAGAGCAGGGGAAAACACATAGCAAAGGGCCACAGACTCGACACTAGGCCACTCCATTTCAGGCACCTACACAACCATGTGTGTCTCAAACTACTCGTCAGGTGTTAAAATATAAACTTTTTTTGCTCCTGAAATTATCCCTCTTATTGATACTGGCCACTAGTCACTAATTTAATTTAAAGTTTTAATGAAAGCTTAAAGACTTTTTTTAGGGATTATTTTTTGCACATATTCACTGTCTTTGATTTTTTTTTTTTTTTGATTTTTAAAGATACAAAACTATATAAACTTCAGATTTTTTATTTATTTATTTATATCTATTTATTTATTCACTGCACAGGATGTTTAATTTTTTTTATTTTTATCACTTTTTCTTTTTTAATCTCCAAACTGTTATGGAAGGATTTATTTTAGTAAGCAAAGCATGTTTTGATGTACCAACAATGGGAATAGGAGTACTGTTGTAAGACAATTTAAAAACAAAAGACAATTTACTCTTTTTAAGGAGTTGTAACAGGCTCTGAATCTGGTCTGTTAACCAACAGTTACTGAAACGGGTTGTGCTGCACTCCAGTGGGTGTTTTTAGTTATAGGGTTCAAACTATACTTTGAACTCAAAGGATTTTCTTTGCCTTAAATAAGGATTAACAAAAGCAGGTGAGTGGAACATGTGTATTAACTCTATAATTCCCTTTGTATCATATTTGATACGTGAATTTCTGATACCTCTATCTCATCAACAAGATCAATACTTGCCATAATTTTAAAATGAATTTTCTGGTTATTTTTTATGGGTTGGGTCTTACAGGGTTAAAGTATGATCCAGTAACCGTCCGTAAGCACAGCATGTGTCTGTTTTGTCCAGCTTTTATCAGAAGAATGGAGGTTCTCAGGTCTTAACTGAAGGCAACCCTGAGCTGAAGGAATTCCAAGCAGATAAAACTCTCAGGCAATTGGCCCCGTTTCCCATCTAGTCCTTTTCCACAAGGTTGAGAAGGTACAAAGGGTTACAGAGACGTGCATTTTTCAGGCTTATCTTTTTACGGTGGATGTGAGGTAGCAACAGCTGTCATGCATGCATATGTTATGTACAGAAGTCACAAATGCACACAGTGCCAACACCTTTTTTGAACTATGTAAATCCGAATATCAAGAGAAAAAATAAACCTCTGAAATTGATTATTTTCACCAGGAAATTCTATGTTTCTCTAATAAATTCTGCAGAGATACTCAACTGAAAGAAGCCGACTAAATCTTGCAGGTGAATTACAGAGAGGATTTATCTACACCATTTAGACAAACAATTTGGATTAGCTTGTTCTAGCGTCTCAGTTGTTAGGATTTGCTGCAAAATATGGTTCGAGTCACACGGACGACAGAAAAGACTCTCACAGCGGCCGTTTAGAGTATTTTGGCAGTTGCTTTTTTTTTTTTTGCCTTGGTGGAGGCTGTGATTCGAAATGATAGAATTACAGCCACGGGAGATACTGTCATGAAAATTTTAAAGTGTGTATCTGAGATCAAAATGAAGGTTGAGTTCAAAGGCTTGTCTGATCCCACCCACAAACACCAAGTAAAGGGCATCTTTACTAGAGGAGGCAGATGGTGCCTTACTTTACACTCCTGTCCCACATGTCTGTTAATTTGTAACTTAACCCACTTTTGTATCATTGGCATACCAGCTGGTATTATCTAGACATTTAAAGCTTAAACAACAAATCAAATTACTATGCAAATACATTTAAAAAAAATTATACTTGGATGTTCCAGAAGATATTCAGGAAAGTTAGAAATTACACAAGCACCTAGATGCGAAACTAAACAAAAATATTTCACCTAATTTTACATATTCCTAATTGGGTTTTTTGTTTTTGTTTTTTGTTTTTTAAGACAAAAATAAGACAATCAAATCACACTGGAGTGGTGATAATACATGTTCATTAACTTCTCATAGAGGAAATAATCAGGGTGATGGCGAATCAGGGCAAATTCACGTGTATAGCCTTCCAGTCAAAGCTCTTTGTCTTTCGTTGCCCTCTTTAGTGCACATTCCTGTGTGAGAGCCCTTTGGTGGCTCTCACACCACAGGGTCATGGGGAGGCATGTGTGCTCCTTGGTTAATTTTAGCCCTCATTTCATCAAGGCCGTTGAGACAAAACACAGAGCCACTACCTCAACCCGTCTAGTGAAAGGTGAACCGTCTGATCTCCTAACACCTTTTTCTGTCTAGGTTTCAGTGAACACATGTCTTTGGACAAAGTGGAAGGATGACTTCTTAAACACATTTGTCTGCTGGCAGCTCAAAGGGTCATGAGTGGCTTCCTGGTGGGTTTCTGTCACATTGTTTGAGTTTTTGCATGGTGAAGATTAGAATAACATATTTACATAGACTCTAAAGATTCAAAAACCATTTAGACATATTGTAAGTGACCGTATTTTTTACTAGTGGTGGACAAAACACAGAAAAATTTGCAATAAAAAGAGGAAGGCCCAATAGATATAACTCAGCTCTGTTCAGCCTGCTTTGTCTGTGAAACTCTTTTGTGTTTTTTTCCAAACAAAATGTGCACATTGTGTGAATTTGAAAAAGGCAGCTGCAGCCTGCAGGTGACCTTTAACTAGGTACACAATAGAAAGTCTGGCCACGATTTCTGCTCCGTCCCAGAAGACAGTGCCAGGTAATCGTGTCCTTGCTGCTCCAATTTGAAGTTAAGGATAGGATTGAGGCCTTTGAGTTATAAGACTAAAGCCCAGGCAAGAACTCACAGTATGAAAGCTAAACCCCATCTAGCTTTTGATTTAGCCAAACTTGAATTTTTCATTTTTGCAACTCAGATCGAGTCACACTGTTTGAGTCTGCATCCTCACGTCTGGCTGTGGCACAATAAAATCCAGACTGAAAGTTTCCAGTCTCACAGTCTCAGGCTTGTTAAACACAAAGTAATCTATCTTCTCAGTTTACGACCATGTTTTGAATCCCTTTTTCTTTTTTTAGTTTTGACAGTTCAATTGTTTCTGCAGTGGCACTTGCGCGCCTAACCGGTGCAGTGTATAATTCCTTTCTCCCACAGAAGTCCTGGATTACTTTCACCTACAAACTTAAAATGTGCTTTCTGAACAATTTAAAAAGGGATAAAAAACCTCTCACAGAGGCACATGTAAACACAAACAAATGAGTGCACTTTTAAGATTACCATCACTAGTTTAATATAATACTTCAGAGGTGCAATGGCAGCCACAGAGTAAGAAGATGCTGCTATTTTCAGCACAGTCTTCAGATGTAGGGTGAAGCAGAATAGACTGCTGTGGGTCTGCACTCTATCATTGTCAAATCACTGTCGAGCTATCCACAATGCCATAAATAGATAATGTCAGTATATACATTTCAAAATAAAACATTACTTCAATGAGAAACAAAGTACAAACAGCTATTAGATAAAAGATATGTAGCGCCTAAGGAATAGGGTGCCAGAAATGTAGAAGAAATAATTAATATGATTACAAAACCAACCAACCTTGGATATCCAGGATTACTAATAACCAAATTCTTCATAGTTTTTCATCACAAATATCTTCTAACCTGACTGACAGTGATGCTAATGAGTAATGTTATGGGATCGCTTCCCTGAATTAAAATTCCATACGGTATGTCTTCTAAGGTATATCTAATATATATGTAGAGAGACTTAATACTTATATATACATAACTGATGCTTCCGCTGTCTTCTGCCTTCACGCTGCTGATGGGCGACAGGGGGTGGTGCAAGGGGAGTGGATTGGGATCGGGCTAATGGGAGCTTCTTCACTGCCATCCTTATCGCGCATTGTCCAAAACTTGAGGGAGAATGCAGCGATTATAAAGCAACGAACGGATTCTGCGCTCTGCAGCTTTTGTTCACAACTTGTCCCACAACAGGTAACCTCACTAAGGAAAAGACTTTCGAATCGGTTTCATACAGCTTTTGTTGTATCCTAGTCTACTTTTTACCCCCACGTTATCAGCGTGCAACATCCTGCAACTGCTATTGCCCTGGCAACCAGCCCTCCTCTCCATCATTCTCTGGCGCTTCACCCCTCACCATCAGAGGCAGGCTCCGAGGGAAGCCAAAATCTGCCGCTTACGCTCGCCCTCCAAGTGGAAGTGGACCCTTTTGTTCACTGGCGTCAGTTCAAATCTCTTTGCTTTTTTACTTATCTCAGGTTCATGTGTCGGAAGTGTTTTCTCTCAGCATCAAAATGCCCGTGAGACGCGGTCATGTTGCGCTCCAGAACACTTACTTGGATACTATCATCAGGAAATTCGACGAGCAAAGTAAGTGCACATGAAATTAGTTTCAGTTATGCGTCTGTGCTGCTGTTGAGGTCCGAACAAAGGGTGTGATATTTAGATTCCAAACGTTTTACAAAATACATATTTAGTTTTCCCATTTTAAACATTTGGACTGGTTTTTGCTGCGATGGTTTAGCTCGCAAATGCTTTAAATAAATCCGAAAGAGATGGCAGAGACGGGCGAACTCTAATTTACGCTGAATTAATTACCGTACATTCTCTATTTTAAAAGGGATAAGTGTGCTCTTTGTCTATGGGAAAAGTGTTTCTGACAGCTAGTTCATCAGTAGGAGTGGTAGCTTGTATTTATTTCAGAGCTGTTAGTGTATCCAGTTAAATCTTGTTGGTATAGTTTTGTTTGCTTTATTTTTCACACGTCTGTGTTTGTTTGTCGGTCAGTCTCATTGCTTGAACAACTGTTTACAACTTGCATAGTTCCCATTTCTGTATAGCTGTATATCTCAGATTTCTGTAAAGTTATTTATTTCATATTCTGTATAGTTTTTCATATTTATATCCTGTTCATAGCCTGTACTCACTACAGCCTGTACATACTTATAGTTATAGAATATTCACAACATACTTCATACCGTGTATATTATAACATACCATAATAGACCCATTTCTGTAATATACTTACATATCTATACCATTGCTAATATATATTGTAATATATCTATATCACTAAAGCACTTCTGGATGGATGCAAACTGCATTTTGTTGCCCTGTACCTGTGCATGTGCAATGACAATAAAGTTGAATTCTATTCTATTCTATTCTATTGAACAGATGGTAGAAGGACAGGCTTTTTATATTATAATAAATTAACACATCTTATCTTATCTGTATCAGTAATGCTGACAGAACCCAGCTGCTGCTTTTATGTTTGCGGGGTTGTTGCACCTGCATGTGAGTTTGTTTGTGAGAGCTCACCTTATGACTTACATTGTGTTCCATTAGCTCACATGTTCCAATGGCTGGAAGAAGAGACCACCTCTCACTTATTGGAGAGGAAAAAATCCCTTTCCCTGAAACCACAAAGGCCTCTGATAGAACACATATGTTGCTGTCTTCTTTTGACCTGACCATTATTTGTATGCAGTTTTACCTTCATCCATTTTCTGTACTTAACACTTATTACATGAGCCTGTAAATCTTTGTTAATGCTACTTTAGTTTAAAAACAAAAACACTGACAGACACCATGCCACATTATATCTCATGTGCCATAATCAGTACATTTCCTCACCACTAGCAGCGTGTTGACACAGGACTGAAAATAACCCTGCCATCCTGATTAGATACTGACCATAGATGGAGAAATAGTTGATTGCTGACAACTCTCAGTCTGTTTTAGTATGATCAGCTCTAGGACCAGTAATGCTTGAATCTCCCAATATCCCCTAAGAAACCCGTATTATGTAATGCCTCTACTGTATCCCAAAAAGGTGTATGTGTGTGCACGCGCAGTCTACATACACGTGCACGATAAGGTGAGTGCACGTGCCACAGTGGTGCTGCTTAGCAACGGTGTGACGATCAGTGTTTTTGCTTTGAGCCCCAGATAATGACTTTGGACAGAATGTGCTTTTCCACTCTAAGAGCTCACCCGTTTATATCAAAAAGAGGGGCCAAGAGAAGAGTCCCCTGCTCTCATCTGTGTGGGCAGGAAACAGCTGTTTAACCCAGTTTCACCAGCGTGTAATAAAAAGGCCAATGAGAGGCGACAGAGGTTATGTATGTACTTTTCATTCAGATCGTTCAACTCCTCCATTAGCAGCCTTCGAACAAAACTGCCCCAATTCCCTGTCATGCAGCATTTTTGGGACAGTGGGTGTTTCTGTTGCCACGAACAGTATCATTCATTTCATTGGTACTAGGCACTGAAGGAGCTTGGAGTTACTGTTAGGGATGTTTCTGAAAGCAGGGTGACTCTGAGAGACTCAGAATAATAATAATAATGGATACTTTATTGATCCCCATGGGGAAATTACTTGTTTTTCTCTGCATTTGACCCATTCACTCAGTGAAGCAGTGGGCAGCCCACTAAGCAAGCGCCCGGGGAGCAGTGTGTAGGGACGGTACCTTGCTCAGGGGTACCTCAGGGTAGCCGTTAAGTGGATTCGAACCGCCGACCTTCCGATCATGGGGCGACCACTTTACCTACTGAGCTATCCCTGCCCCCTCAAAGCGCTGACTGACCAGGAAGAACCATTATTGTTGTAACTGACACTGTACAGCCACAGTGTTTCCCCCATGATGAAAGATCACTGATGGTGGTGGTCAACGCCCCAGTGAGTGTCATTAGCTGATGAGAAGTCCAGCAGCTACCATGCAGTTAGAGATTTGATCTCAACTTTAATGGCATTATTTTATTTTATTATTTTGTCGCACTGTCACATGTTTATCTTATTATGAAATTTCAATGTAAAATGATCTTAATATTGTGTTTTCATGAACAAAACTATTTCAAATGTAGGCTAGGTGTTACATTCACAAGTACTGACCTTCTTAAAAGACAGACTGGCAACATTTTTAATACAAATCAAAGCTGGTGGCAAAAATATCAACTGTACAGTGATTGTACTTTTAAGATATGAAAACTCTTTGATAAACAATGTAAATCTGGAAATGTAATATTTTTACTGTTTAGGTAGCCTTGCTAAACAAATAAAATATATTCATAGGCAAGTGGCTGATACCAATGTAATGATGTAATTAAAAAATGTCAGATACACAGGCTCCAAAACCTGTAGATTCCCATAAGTTACCTAGCGCCATGTGCTATACTCCAAATACCCTTATGCTGAAGTGCCCACCTGCTCCTTTTCAATCCCTTGGGAGGAATTGTGACGCTAATAACATTAGCACCATGGAAAAGTAGACTTCATTAGTTCCACTTCAGCTGATTGTCATGCCTAGAGGAGGAAGAACAGACTTTGTGGGCCGTGAAGTCAATGCGTATCCACAACAGTCTGTACTTCAGCATCTTTAAATCAAATTAAATCTTAAACAGTGTAAACAGTTTAATTGTCAGCATTAACAAACTATCTCTTTCAATCTTTCAGTGACAGGCATAAGTGCAATCACTGGAATCAGGCGTCATTACCCTCTGCGAAGTATAAGGCTAATTTAGTTGGTGAGATAGTCATGGCTAAGCTTAATTTATGAACCTCTATGCAGTATATTATTTCTCCTTTAATGAGCAGAAAGTTTATTAATATTTATAAGCAAGAAATTGGCTTTATCAGTGTTGCTTCTAACCCAGCTTTAATGGGCGGTCGTTGTACTGCCACATGGATATCTTGCCTTTATAAATTGTCAACTGACACTGTGTTCCTCCCTTCAGATCGCAAGTTTATTATTGCCAATGCCCAGATGAAGAACTGTGGCATCATCTACTGCAATGAAGGCTTCTGCCAGATGTTTGGTTTTACCAGAGCAGAGATCATGCAGCAGCCCTGTACCTGCCAGTTCTTGGTGGGTCCTGGCACAATGAAGAGTTCCCTGGCCCAGCTGGGACAGGCCCTGCTTGGGTCTGAGGAGCGCAAAGTGGAGATCCTGTACTACTCTAAGGAAGGTAAGACACGCGAAAAACAAAAACAAGACAACGGAGCTGGAGGAAAAATGACTGGAGTAAGCCCATTTATAGCTCGAAACCTCATGAAAAGAGTCTTCTGGCTGTCACAAGATTTGGCCTGCTGACAGCTTGATTGTTATCAGAACAGTCCAAATAATCCTCCATATGTTCAACTAGTTTATCATTTATCTTCTGACAAGAAACCTTGTTACAGAGATCTTAATCCAGAATGTTACCTCAGTCCACCAGCCATTCGATTGGATCTGTTTTAAAACATCCTTCCTGCTTTCCAAGACTAGTCCTTTCATTTTGATAATTCATCATGATAAATGTCTGGATCTGATGCACAAAGATGATTTTCATGTGAATAATTTTTGCAATCAAAACAAGTAGATAGTAAAAGATCGTCTCCCTTTAAGTTTGTGTAGTTCAGGAGATTCTTTATTCATCTCAGACCACTATGTTTGGCAGGTATCCGAGTTTAGCTGCTATCTTTTGCTGGACTCCCATTGATCTTGCGAATCCGTCACCATGGCCAGATTATGCTTTTATATTTAGGCTTATATTTAGGCAGGCAGACTCAGCGTCTTAATCACTTCTTCAAACCTGCTTCTTTTGGTGTAGCCTTAATTCATACTTGCCTGTATTCTCATCAGTCCTATGCATGATTCTCTGCACATCGTTTACTTTTATTTTTAAAGTTTAATTTCCTGTTTATTCCAAGTTATTTGGGATGCCAGTGAAACACTGTCCTCTGCCGAGGTCTGTGTTTAACCTCCATCATCTCTTTTTCTTTATCATCTTTTTCTGGCACAAAGGAACTGAGGTAGACACACATGAGTGAGCATGAGTTAGACAATGACAGTTACCGACTATAAACCATACATTTACTGTCTACATTTATACAAGGACATTCATAGTACATGTCTGTTATAACTTTTGCCATTTGGGCATGAGGAGCGGAGTTTAGAGTGCTGTTGTCATGGGAATGGGATTGTGTGCCAGATCAAATCCACTAAGCATCCATTTGTTTTGTTCCCCTGCTTCCCACTGTGCTCCCAGGCTGAACAGACCGGGGAAAAAAATCTGAACATGTGATTGCAATGTGATTCAGAACAAGACTACAGCGCTCACAGGTCGATTTTTTTTCTTAACCTCCAAACAAAATCTCTGTTCAAGGTCTTTCAGGGTGAATGTATGAATGGAAGTGAATGCATGCACTGTGTGTGTGTGTGTGTGTGTTTGTCCGTTCTGCCCTCTCTCCTGTTTCTATTTTTGGAGCTCACTGATTGTGAAGTGAAGTCAGACCTGACAGAAGTATTGCTCATTTAGCCTTTTTTTTTTAGCTTCCACAGTTTTTGAAACGATTCCTTTCTTTCTTTCTCCTTTGCTCATATTGCTTTCTCCTGTGTGACCTCCCTTAGAAACATAACCTCGTTAAACTAGGCCAGCCTTCAGCTGATCACATTTTAGAAGTAACTTCTAGGTTACCAACAGGGGGTGTAGCTCAGTGGTAGAGCATTTGACTGCAGATCAAGAGGTCCCTGGTTCAAGTCCGGGTGCCCCCTGTATAGCTGCTGTTTCTTATCTTTTGTGTCAATAGGGACCTGCAGACCCTGCCTTGTGGGAATCGTTCCAGTAAAAAATGAAGAAGGCCTTGTGATCATGTTCATCCTTGACTTCCAGGAGCTCATCGATCCCTCCCACAAGAAGACTGCTCTCAGACAGAGAATCACCCAAGGATGGGCCTATTGTAAAGCCTTTCACACTGCATACTGCATGTTTTGTTTGTGTTTCAAATTTATAGAAGCTAAACATTTTTCTGTCTTTCTCTTTTCCTGTGAATTCTGCAACTGTAAATATAAATTAGAAATTAATGTGTGTAATTAGTCTTGATTTTCTCATCATATTGGTCAGAATGTGTACTACTGTCTTACCTTAGCAGAAAAGTTGGATATTTTAAAGCAGAAAAGTTGAATTGAATACATTTTGAACTTCGATAACAAGTGAGCTGAAGATAAAGTTTTCTCTTTAGGCCAGAATCGCAGGCTGAAGATGAGGCTGCCGGTGCTGCGATCCATGCGACGACCTTCACTCTCAAAAGATCAGTTTGAAGGAGTGGTAGTAGACTACCTGCAGGTGAATAACACATGCATGCAGTGCAGTCCATTTGCATGAATGCATGCTTTGCATTTTGCTGGAATACATAAACACATCTGGCAGTGGAAAAAAATCTGTACAAAGATAATACGTCATACTGTGACTCCTAGGCATGACATTTGCAATGATACAATTTTAAAACTTACTGACATATTATGCCTGCAATGCTTCTACTGTTCTTCAATCATGCATGAAGAGCACTAATCAAAATGTTCTACACACTATAGTAACAACAAAGTCTTTGATTTGCCTTTCAAGTGCTATATATACAATTTTAGTTTTATATGCAGTTCAAATAGTTAAATACAAACCACCTTAAATAGCAGAGAGATATTTTTGAAGCAGAAGTTCTTGTTTCTCAGCCCAAAAAGACACCAAATGGAAGAATAAGGGGGAAAAGCAACTGGTCTGTTTATCTTTCTCTTCTTAGAATTTTCCTTTACTTGTGTTTAGAGTTCTCTCTTTTGATGAATGGCACCTTGTATGAAAGTATTTCCTGCCAGTATCCTTACCTGACACTGGAACTGTACTGAATCAGATAAATTGACATGTTGGGACTGTTTTACATTTACGTGCTGGCGGGGAGGTGACATTCCTCTCTGTTTCAGAACAGCATTTGTGAAGTGTGAAATATTACAACGTTTTTAAGAAAACATTTAGAAGAGAAAAAAAGCATTTCAAGCCAAAAACCAGCAAATATGGTGTGTAATTATTTGTTTGAACTATAAAGAGACGCATGGCCTTCATTTACGTAATATTCAAAGTAGCTTGTGCCTTATTGCCCTTCCTTGACAGCCAAACAGCGAGGAAGTCCCTCTGAAAGAGTTTCGGATCCCATCTAAGGAAAGCTGTATGCAGTCTGAGACGGAGGCTCTGATAGAACAGGACATGGATCCCCCATCGCCGGCAGCTCAGCCCTCCACCAAACGACGCTCCCTTCTGACAGATCGACTGGACCCCATGCATGCCTTCCCCCGAGGGACATTACCTCGAAGTTGCTCGAGGGACAGTGTTCGGAGCCTCCGACGTGCCTCGTCACTGGATGACATCGACGGCATGAGGGCAGAATGGAACAGTCGGCCTGGAGACCCCCGGACTAACAGCAGTGAGTGTCTGATGGGGCATCTCAGAGGGAAACTAAAGCTGTGAATAAAATATAGAATTAGTAAGAGTATCATCAGGTTATCGTTGCTGTATTTGTGTCTCAAAGAAACTATGAAGTCTTTACAATGCATATTTTTTTATGATGTTAGTGGAATTTAATGTGTGTTTAACTTTTTTTCAGGTTAACCTTCTGACAGGAATATAAAGCAGCATCCTAATAAATTAAATCACACAAAGCACTTTTCACAGCTGGTTTCTCTGACTAACTCAGAAAATGACACAGAATGCAGTTCAAATTTTTTTCTTCATTAGCCTTTTATTCTGTTAAAAAAAACCTGCTTTGAGACATAAATTTGCCTTTGTTGTTATTGCCACTTTGGTTTGCATACAAACAAACATTTTCACTGTGAGATCTGCTGGAAGGTTTGCTGGTATTAAAGGGATCTCTAACAAGTCGTGTCTATTATTTGTTATTTTAGGATACAGTAGGATCTCAGACTTGAAACAAGCTTGCAGTGGTGGCAAACATGTTGACAGATGAGGTCAGGCAGGATGTTCACAGATGACATTGTGATCTGTAGAAAAATTAATGGCGGGAGAAGCAAGACAGAATACATGTGCGTAAATAAGAGGAAGACAGATGTATCAGTGAAGATGCAAGGAGCAAATGAGTTTAAATACCTGGGGTCAAAAATCCAAAGCAGCAGACAGTGGACAAGAGAGTAGAAGAAGAGAGAGCAGGCAGGGTGGAGCAGGTGGAGAAAAAAGTCAAAGGTGATTTGTGACAGAGGATGCTAGCAAGGTTCACAAGATGGTAGTGAGAAATGCTGTGATGTGTGGTTTGAAGATGGTGACACTAACAAAAGACAGAAGGTGAAGCTGGAGGTGGCAGAGCTGAAGATATTAAGAATTTCATTGGGAGTGAGCAGAAAGGACAGGATTAGAAATGGGTACAGCAGAAGAACATCTCAGGGTGAGTGTTTTTGGAAAACCTAATTAAAGAGGCAAGACTGAGATGATCTGAATATGTGCAAAGAATGGTTAGGGGAGGAGGAGGAGGAGGGCTGTGTATTGGACACATTAAAGAGGACATGGAGGCAGATGATCAGCTGTAGCAACCCCTAAAGGGAGTAGCTGAAAAAAGAAAAGGAAGTTTATATCAGATTAGAAAGTGAGGTGACACATCAAATCATTAGTATTATCAAGTTAAATGCAGTTGAATTAAATGTTTAGTAGCTTAAAATGTCCTTGGCATATCCTAAAACACATAAATGCAAACTAATCAGAATCAAAACTGATTTTTTTCAGCTGAGCTGTAACAGCTTTCAACAGATTTCTCACCAGTTCGGCACTTGTCAGGTTGTTGATGTCAGATTGTTGCTCTGATATTTATAACACAGAGAGCGTCCCTCTGTGCAGCTGCCTAATAAAAATTCCAGTAGAGACACAATAATCAATTCTTCTGTCAGTGATTGGGTTTGTGTTAAAATTGCTCATCACTGCACATCTATTAACCTCCGCTCTCAGGGGAAATACTTCATGAGGAAACGTTTTCTTTTGTACAGGTTCCAATCATACTCTTCCCGTTTTCTATTCAATCTACTCTTCCACAGATTTTTTTTTTACTTGACTGCTGATGCTGTTGTTTTGTGTTGTAGATCTCAAGCCCAATACTCTGAACTCCACTTCAGACTCAGACCTTATGAGACATCGAACCATAGGCCGCATCCCACAGGTTACCCTCACGTTCGGCTCTGACCGAATGAGACCGCCTTCCCCAACTGAGATTGAAATCATTGCACCCAGCAAGATTAAAGACCGAACGCAGAACGTCACAGAGAAGGTCACTCAGGTCACACAGGTAAGCTGCTCTTTACCATCTCAAGAGAAAAAAGGGAGAATAAATGCCTGTTTTCTTTGCACTTTACTCATCTTCACTCATTTTATGTCATCACCAGGGTCTTAAATTTTCCATTTCACATTGCTGGCTGCATATATATTTTCTTATTCAGTAATTGGCTACATCAACCAAATTGCTGTCTGATCTTTAAGAGGCAAAATTGCCAGAAATTACTTGCTTCTCACCTGTGAGATTGGCCAAATTGTTAAATGACTGTAATAACAAGGGACCAGCGTTCCTTTCTTCCCTTTGTTTGGTTAATACACAACAGCAGATATGTCTGCAGCCGCTGAACAGCAATCAGTGGTAGGAAACACTAAAAGGAAGAAAATGTTCACAATTACAATACTTATGTCCTAGAAAAGGAATCAGTGACACAGACTTCAGCTGGTAGAATTGGTTTTTGTATCATCTTCTGCTTGGAAAATGTTGTGTTAAACTACTGCATTTTTTATTGTTTTAAGCTAATACAAGGAACAGCAATAAATAACTGAGTAATTAATATTTTCAGGTGTATTTTTAGCTGTTTTTGGCTCTTCCTGAAAGAGAAATTTATAATGTTTCTAACTGGAAAAAAAGAAATATGATCATTAACATCATATTTCTGTCAGATAGTTCAGTCAAAGGTGTCTATAAATGGTACATGCTTCAGGGTGACTGAAGACGCGAGACATCCGAACTCACAGGGTGAAAGCGTGAACGAATAATCTCACCTGAGGTGTGACATCTATGGCACCAGCAGCAAAACACATTCATCAGCCACCTGTCATCACACCACGGTGTCTCTGTGTATATTTTGGCAAACTGCCTCACAAGAGTGAAAGAAGGACCACAATGGAAAATACCTTAAAATAACCAAGAAGGGAAACCGTTATTTCCAGTAAAATACAGTTAGGTCGATAATTTCTTTTTTTGCAGTTTTGCCGCTATACACGACAAGTGATTTAAAATCAAACGATGAGTACATGTGATTGAAGTGCACAGTTTCAGCTTTGATTCAAGGGTTTTTTACAAAAGTACAGGATAAATTATTTATTATTAGCAGTCATTTTTATACACAGTCCCCCAATTTCAGAAGCTTAAAATTAAATGAACTGCTGGCTCACAGGCAGTTTCATGGTGAGGTCAGGCCTGAGCCCATGTAAACAAATGCAGCAGACATAATATTTGAAGCTGATTCAAAAACCTCACTTGATGCTTTATAGCTTTGCACTTGAATTACATTTGATAGTTTTAAAATTCACTGTGGTGACGTCATATGTTAGTAAGTAACATGAACAATGATTAAGAAAAGCAGTTTATAGATGCCAAAATATTTTTTAAATACATTATTATTTGTACAGCAGTATGTCATGTTTTCTAGTAGTAATAATTAAATTATTAAAATTACTATAATTATTAAATATTTTTAATAGATTTGATGAAGGTCTCATGCCGCACTAGACACGCTGCACAGCAGGTTGCTGCCATTAGTAAGTATAAATGGATCTACGAATGTTACATTGAACATAAGAAAAAATGATAAAGCTTTTCTTTATGACTGTAACAATGCAAAGGCCTGTTTGTTCAGGTATAAAGCAGAAAATAAGGCAATGCTGGGCTCCCTAAGTGCATCACATTAACCGGTTTATCTGAGAGGCTTTCAGGATGGTCAGTTGAGCCTCTTTTCAGCCAAACTGACCAAAGAAGGGTTTTTGTTTGTGTCCCATTTATCTTTTTTTTTTTTTTTTGGAGTGGCTGGTTTGTTATTTTAGCAGGATATCAGATATAGGAGCTATGGGTTCACTATGAGGTGTTTTGTAAGCTATTTACATGGTTCATGACTTGTAACATTTTACAAGATTTTAATTATCTGATTCATTAAAGTCTTTAAAATTTAGAGCGTCAGCTGATTTAATATACAGTATGATTTTTTTTAAAATCTGGGTTAATGATTCATCTATTAGTTCCTCCCCAAATATATATATAATCCAGGCTATAAAACTACACACAGTAACTCACAGTAAGTGATTTGATTACATTTGGTTGCAGTTCACCCCAATTGAATCTGCCTCTGGGCATTTAAGCGACCATGACTCGGTTAATCTTTGTGAAGTTTATTAAATTACTTAGAAAGTTTAATAAACATTTCAGTACGGATACCACCTTTTAGGAGATGTTAGTTGTGCATTTGCACAGTGCTGTGACCTCATGTGACTGCATTGTGACTGAATGTTGCTGCTGTGGTGGTGGTGAGATATTGCTTCTTTGCACTGGGAGTGATTGTGGTATTGACAGCCAGCTCTGACTCTATATGCAAGCAACGTAGCTTCTGTGGTCCTGGAAAAAGTGACTGCACAAACAGAAGACCTCTCGAAAAGCCTGGCTGAACACTTCATCTGTTATCTTGGCTTAGCTGACGTCATGAACAAGATTGGTTAGAAAGTAAGCGTTCCTCTGTTTAACCACACAGACAGAGTTTGTCTGCTTGTCAGGGAGGTTTGTTTTAGTCTTGTTTTGTTTTTGTTGGAAGGTAGAAGGTAAAAATAAAAATAAAGATTAATAAATCTCTTTGGTATGCCACTTGCTGGCAGACCACACACCGTCTTAGATGTTTAGTTGTTTTTAGATTGATAAAGTGCTTTGATGAAGATTATACAACATTAAATAAACTCAAAGCATTTCCATCCATCCATCCATTGCTGCTGCTTTATTTACAATTAATTAAATCTATTCCTGTTTTGTTTTTTGATATTCTATGAATGTGAAAACATATTTCTTTTTCAAATATATAACAATGCACAAAACATTTTATCCTACTTTGTTGAAAATTGTCAGAGTTTGTGCACCTGAGGTTTCAGGTGTTTCCCTTCCTGGTCACCACTCATGTACACAACTTAAATACATATGAACCATAACAGTAAAATCTCTCCTAACTACATGACTGTTCAATCCTTTTAGGGTTAAATTCTATAAACACAAAGGTCAAGCATCCAAATAAAGAAAATATGTCTGTGTCTTATAGAAATATAAACTTTTTCTTCAACATTCAAAAATGAAAAAAAAAAGGTTTCATTAATTGCACATGCAAATGGAAGTTATTTCCAAATTTCTGTGTAGTCATATTGCTGTGTTTTCTTTATGTAATGTCAGTACATGAAGAATGCCTGGATGTATGTAGGGCTCACAGCTGCCTGTGAGTGTGGAGAGGAGTCCTGCTGGTTAGCTGGATTTATGAAAGGGAGCGAGACTATTGAGCGGCACTCGTGGCTTGACGTTGCCAGTGACCTTGGCCCCTGGAACTAATGGAAGTGGAGGGCAGTGGGCTTGGTCTCTGTGCCTCTGTCAGACACTAAATCACAACTGCGTGTTGTTACCGCTGTGAGTTTTTGTCCGGTTAAACCAACTTGCTTGAGTATCATAATGTTGAGTTCAGAGACAAGAAGGTCAGGCTAACGTCACAGTAATCACGGCTGCTGCCATGTGAACTGTAGCAGTGGTCTTTTACTGACTGTGAGTTTTCTACAGGTACTGTAATAAATAGTAAAGCACATGTTGCCTTTCTCTGTGGCCCCAGTTTCATTATGCATAGAATGTTTTCTTTATGCTGCCCTTATAATTGAATTTCGATTGGCAAGTTAAAAAAAGAGGCATGATGGTTGTCATTGATCTTTGTTCATATTGATTTGTCTGCATAACACAAAGCACACTGCGATTGATTATAGACTGTGGCTTGTTAAAGACAGATAACTGTACAAGAGCCTCAGCACACTGTAACTAGTACTGTGTGTCGGTGTGTATGTGGCGCCCCCTGGCGTTGACTGATCTTGCAACAGGGCAACTTGGAGATAGTTGCAGCTTTAACTGAGTGTGGCTCTGTTTTTTGCAGGTTTGCACAGCTATTTTTTTTAGTATTTGTCTCCATGAATGTGTGTGTACAGGTTGATAACATGCTCGTTTGAGATCTGATTGAACTCTGAAGCAGTCACACCCAAATAACGCATGCTTCTAAAAAACAACATCCTCACAAGGCGTCTTAGAGACTAGGCAGTTAAAAATGTGTAAATATATTTTCCAAATATCAGGGTTGAATATGAGGTTATTTGAGTTTTTTAATGGAATTTATTAGTTCATTTACAAGACTTTGCAAAAAATATTTTTTAAAAAGAATTACATTAATTCAGAGGGGAGAAAAGACAGGGCAATGTTACCGTAAACCTTTATTTTTTGAAAATATAATAAAAGTGATTGGAAGGTTATTCACAAAATGACAAGACCTCACATACACTACATTAATTCAGATAATAATTTGCATATGCAAAAATACTAAACAAAACCAAAACAGCAAACACGCACAATGTATTTGCATTCACAAACAATTCACGCAAATGCTTTTATAATTATTTCCGCAGCAACTGACAATAAATCTCACCTCCTATAAAGATTGTATAGAGCTAAAGGGAAATTTTACTTCAGTCAAGAGCTTAAAATTTATTTAGCTGTTTAGCTTTTTATTGTCAGGCCAAACACAACCACCTTTGATTTTTTTTCTCCAATAATTACTACTTGTTGAGCATCACACAGGAGGCAGGTACCATCATCCATCACTTTTTATGTGCTTGAAAGAGGATCCCATGATGAGGGCAGGGCTACAATCAGGGAGGAAGAGCGAGAGGAGCAGAAGGGAGGGAGACACAGACTGACGGACAGAGTTCCCGTCTCCCTCTCTCTTTCTCTTAGTCGTAGTCTTGTCCTGCTTTTTACCCTGTGGTGTGTGTTTCAGCATGAGCGTCAAGCAGAAACTTCAGCCTGTGAGTACAGCCTTACTGGGTCTTTCATGCTCTCTGCAGTTACCCTCAAAACTCCATTTCTTTTTCAGCTCCACATTCCTGTTTGTTAGCTGCCAGTGTTCCTTTCCCTGTTCTTCCTCACCCCATCTTTAGTCATCTTCCACCTCAAACTTCCAGCTCACTGAATATGTCTCCACGAGTTAGAAATGATCACTTGACTCAAGTTAAGCTGATGACATGTCAAAGTGACGTAACTTCACAGAGATTACACGAGAACTGTGCAGAGTTAGAGCACTTTCAAATTTACTGAGGGGTTTTTAAGCTGAAAATAAATGCTACTTTCATGTCTGCATTCTATTAATGTGATATTCACATCCTAAAGGCTTAATTTTATCTTTACTTATTTTTTATAGATACTATTTAAACTTTGAACTAAAATATTTAAAATGTTTTGTGCTTTGCATTGTTGCTTTATCCACAGTTGTCATATTATTATGAATATTTTATATTTCTGCTCTGAATACCTTAGAAGAAGCACTTTCATATATATATTTATATCTATATGCATGTCTCTCACTTTTTCTCTCTCTTCATATATTTATATATATATATATATATGCTGGATTATTACTATTATATGATATATATTTTTTAAATCGTGTTCTCTGATTACAGCTCTGCTGACTTTTAAATCTAGTACAGCTTGAAATGTATCAGCTTGATCTCTTCCCATGATGATTTTAAAGTCGGAGTAGCAACAGAGAGTTGTAGCGTGCAAATTAGAGGTGCCTGTCGTTGTCTGGTCATCATTATCATTAAACAGAGCTGTGGTGGACATCAATAACGTAACATTTCTTGGATGAGTGAACCTTTGCTCATGTGTTTACATTCTCATTACTGTGTTGTCTCTTCACATCTGTTCAGCTCCTGTGGTTAGTTGCTTACACACAAAAGGTTGTCACAGTTTGTTGTCCTAGATGGAGAATTCAATAAATTCTGTGCACTTTCTTCCATTTATGTCTGTTTTCCAAACTGAACGCTGTCTTGTTGGTCGTAAACCCAAATTATGAAGCAAGTGAAGCAGCCAACATCCCTTTACTGGAAATATTATCGAAACCTTGGTTATTCCCAATGACCATCTTTTTTTATATATAGTACTCTGTCTTGAGAAAAAGTTTACTTTGACTATTTATGGACACTGCTTTCATTCAAGCTGGGAAAGTGGAAGGGAAATGCATTTTTGAGGAGACTTTTTTTCCCTCAACGAACAAAAAAGTCTAAATATATATTACATTTTGCAAGGGAAGATGGGTTTACTGGTTTCTTGTACCAATATGTGACAAATTAAAGGAAAAACTCTCGACTTGTGGAGATCCAAGGGCCCTGTTTTGTTGTTGGGACATTTTTCTGGGTGCACTTCTCCCCTTGGATGGATAGCTCATGTATCAATCAATGCAATGTTCTTCTGAGTCATCAGATTTATCCTGTGGTGAAACATTTCTAGCTCGAATTAAGAGAAAAGAGAGAGATCTTTTCAAGCTTTACAGTGTCATCTCCATCAGTAGGAGGGGAGGGATCACTTAATAGTTAAATATAAATAAGATGCACATCATATGTCATGGCCTTCACAGTCCCATATGTATCCATCTATCAGCTGGATACATATGGGAGATCTTTGGCCACAGGGTTACACCACATTCTCTTCATCAAAACACCAGATAAGAAGCTGTTTTGGTGAATATGGTTCATTCCCTGCAGTGGGCTTCAGGACTTGAGCTATAGCACACCAAAAGCTTTTCCCTTTTAATTTCTCACTGATCTGTGTGCTTGCCATACAAGTTCAGCTTCTTTTGTCATGATGACTATCAACATAATTATGCAAACTGAAATGTAAATGACGGTCTAACCGCCAAAGGGTTTGTAAGGACAAGAAGGACATGGAAACCCAACAGCATGTACAGCAGTTTAGCGCTCTGTGGTTCATGTAGATGTGAATGTCAGTTATAGTGCATTAAAAGAATAAAGCACTTTGATTTCTGCAAAGCCAGTTTGGCCAAATAGAGCTGACCTTTCCATTAACAGAAATTACCTAAAATCACTCCTCTGCATGAAGCCCAGTCGATGCCAGCACTTATTCCAGTCTGAAATTGATCAGATCGCTGGCAGAAAGGGTCACGTGGCAATCACGTGGTGCAGCGGAGGCAGGTGAGGCTGCAGTGGACTCTCTAAAAAGGACAGTGATTTGGCTCGGTTAAGTGCATTTGAAGAGAGGATAGAAGAAGGCAGGAGCTGGGATGTGTGTTCATGGCAGTCATCAGCAAACATATTTATCTGGAAGAAAGTGATGAAGGAAGGGAGATGGGGAAGAAGGCAGGTGGGGCTGCAGAGAGTTTGGAGAAGCCTCCTCTGCTGCTGTGGACGCCAGGATGAGAACCTGGACATGGAAGCTCTTATTGTTGTACCGGTCAGTGGATCTTACTCATCACTGATTCAGTCACTGGTAATTTTCTGATTTGTGTTGGTCTGCATGTAAATGGTACTCGACATATGAGTGGATTTGTGTTTTGCTCTTTTCTGCCACCCTGAAAGAAGAGTCCAGAGTTGTTTTTTAACCTCTTGCTGTTTTAGAATATTAGGTTTAGAATATTTTGAGCAATGCACCATTTATTATAAATTAAAGCCGTGTTCATGATGAAGTTCATCATCTGAGGTGGCATGGCACTATCAAAGGACATGCTGGGCTTTACTTTAAGGGTGCAGTGGGGTGTGGTTAATGTAAAAGTATCCCAGTGTCTATCTAGTTATCACAGTACTGCTACACCTTATGGATTTTTGCAGCTTGTATTGTAAATACTTGAGATGGCACTAACAGTAATTATGAAAACTACAGTTATTCTTGGGCTCTTGGGCTCTCGTGCACCATGTTTCCTGCAATAAATTCTGCTTGTTTTTCAGTTTCCCCAACCTTCGTCTTACTTGGTCAGCAACAGCTACCAGACTGTTTTAACATACACTCTTTTAACTCTCTCTTTAATTCTTTTAAGGCACTATCAGTATGTTGGAATTTTTAAAAAATGACTGAAATTAGTTTTGGCTGTTTTGTAAAGAACATCATTTTCATTTTAACTAAGAAAATTGAAATTTCTTATTAAATATTGCTTTATGGATAAAACCTGAAAATTGTTAAATTCTAATAATTAAACCGCAGTGAAAGCTGTTTAAATGATAACTTAAGATGCTGACTTACAGACCAAAAACATTTCACATTTTTATGTCAGAATTAAGTTATTGTTTTTGAATAAGGATAGTTGTTTGCTTTGTGAGAACTGTGCACTTACTTCCTTTACTCTCGTCTCAGACATTAGCTAATGTACACGCCTCCCCCTTTTTCCTGTTTTAATTGTATGCTTCATAAAGTACTCTATATAGTATTTATATTATACTTTCTGGCTATGGGCCTTGATCTTTCCTCCATTATTAATAACCTCCTCTGTATCCCATTGGCCTCTTATCAGGTGTTATCCCTCGGAGCTGACGTGCTGCCAGAGTACAAGCTCCAGGCCCCGCGCATCCACAAATGGACCATCCTTCACTACAGCCCCTTCAAAGCAGTATGGGACTGGGTCATCCTGCTGCTGGTCATCTACACGGCCATCTTCACGCCATATTCTGCTGCCTTCCTTCTCAATGAAGCGGAAGAAGAAACACAGAGAAGAATCTGCGGCTACACCTGCAACCCACTCAATGTGGTGGACCTTGTGGTGGACGTCATGTTCATCGTGGACATCCTCATCAACTTCAGAACCACCTATGTGAACCATAACGACGAGGTGGTCAGCCACCCGGGACGCATCGCGCAGCACTACTTCAAGGGCTGGTTCCTGATCGATATAGTTGCTGCCATCCCCTTTGACCTGCTCATATTTCGCTCTGGGTCTGAGGAGGTGAGAAAGCTATCGGAATATCACTTTGTGTTTCAGACAAAAGATTAAATGAAAAGTCTCCTTTTATAGCCTTTATGTGTAACAGATTTTTACAGTTTTGCAGTAAAACTGGAAAATTACTCAAAACACAACTTTTTTATTAAAGTCAAATACAGAAAGTCCCAAAATACAACCAACTAGGACATAAAACAGGTAACTCGGGAACAGACTAGGGTGGATAAGTAGACACGCTGACAAACGCTGTAAGGGAGCAGCAATCACAGAGGGCAATCAGGGGAAATGGAAACAGCAGGAAAGTGAGGCATATCCAAGATAATGATATACAAGAAGCAAAACAAAGCATGTAAAAAATAAGAGGCACAACACTGACACACACAGCAGCCTGGCACAGAGAAATATGAAGGAAAGCTAGGAAAATAAACCAAAATACAAGACTTATGTTTAAATAGCAAACTCTCAGCCTTAACAGAAACTGCCATCAGAAGTAGCCTCCAAACCCTGGCATTATCAAAAAACAAATACCAATCAAAACTCAACTAAATAAACAAGTATACTAAACTCAAAATGCATGAACAACCCCCCCAGCGCCATGGCACTGCTGTTATGAGTGGCAGCTCTTGGCCTTTTAACTCTTACTAAGTGAACCAACTAACGCGCCTGTGCTTTTTGTGCTACAAATGTAGCTATATTTGGTTTGGAGAAACTTTTATCTGTGATGTCCTTTTCCTTTTACCAGTTTATGTAAAATTGATATTTTTATAATACTATGATGGAGTAATTATTGCAGGATAGCTGGAAGCATTATGGACAAATTAGAAGTGTTTATATGCATTTTAAGAAGATGGAAAACCCACTGAGTTACACATGGTAAATGTCCAGTCTGCTAATAGCACTAACATTAAATCTTCTCTGTCTTCAACAGCCTCAAACAACCACTCTTATTGGACTACTGAAGACGGCCAGACTTCTGAGGCTGGTGCGAGTGGCCAGGAAGTTGGATCGTTACTCAGAATATGGAGCTGCTGTTCTTTTCCTCCTTATGTGCACCTTTGCCCTCATTGCTCACTGGCTGGCCTGTATCTGGTACGCCATCGGTAATGTGGAGCGTCATGGCTCTGCCCGCATCGGTGGCATGAAGATTGGTTGGCTGGACAATTTGGCCGACCAGATTGGGAAATACTATAATGACAGTGACCCAGCCTCTGGCCCTTCAATCAAAGACAAGTATGTTACAGCCTTGTACTTCACCTTCAGCAGCCTGACTAGTGTGGGCTTTGGCAACGTCTCACCCAACACCAACCCAGAGAAGATCTTCTCCATCTGTGTCATGCTAATCGGCTGTGAGTAGAAAGGAAAAGGATCAGAAACATGCAACACTTCAGACTTCGAATCATTGAAGTAGAATCCAGAATATTTTGCTCTAACTCTGAAGCTCATCTTAGAAACTCTGGAGTAATTCAATTCTTCTTGCATATATTCAGTCACTTAGGTGATATTTCCTCATTTTAATATGAGGAAAATTACAAAGATAATGTCAAACAAATCAGCAAGTTCAAGGAGAATCATGTCAAAACATTAGGTCAGTCACTGTTTGTTAGCTGGTAAAATAAGTCCTCCAAGATCTTACCTGTTTTTATGAGAACAACTTGTACTGTTTACATAAATCCAGTACATCCTGAGCATACATACAGCCTTTGCTAACCTATTTTTTGATGGTACAGAGATAGACAGGAGAAATATAATCAAATTTATCACAACCCCAGGAGTAAATTGTTTCTGCCTTCTGTTCCATGCAGCTTTGATGTATGCCAGTATATTCGGAAACGTATCAGCCATCATTCAGAGACTTTACTCAGGCACGGCCCGCTACCACACCCAGATGCTGCGGGTCAAGGAGTTCATACGTTTCCATCAGATCCCAGGAGGTCTGAGACAAAGGCTGGAGGAGTACTTCCAACATGCCTGGTCCTACACAAACGGCATCGACATGAATGCTGTAAGGAAATGAAAAAACTTTGACTGCTGCCTTCCCCTTATGAGCATGCTTTCAAAGTGCAAACGTCAATGTGCACGTTCAAAGCACCTAACTGAAGTACAAATAATGTGTTACAATTTATAGAAACACTTGCTGTCCTCAAGTTCTCAAACCAGTTTTTCTGCATGTCCAGTGTTTGACCTACACTGGCTGCTTGCCGTATTCTATGCTGCTGCAATGGCCCAGTTTTTGTGTGGTGATCTTTTAATGTCATGTAGTTCTTAAAAGTAGTAATAAGTACAAATCCAGGCTTTGTTTGATGCACTTGCTCCCAGAAAAAAAAGTTTTCGTAATATTAAAATAAAACCTTTATAACACATTTTATTTCAAACGTTTTCAGAGACTTTTAGGGGCGTCTTTGTGTTCATGGGGGTATAGCTCAGTGGTAGAGCATTTGACTGCAGATCAAGAGGTCCCCAGTTCAACTCTGGGTGCCCCCTCTTCATTTACAGACATTCATTGTTTCCGGTGTCTCATAGAGAGACCCACTTTTCAGATGTGATGTGCGTCATGTTGCTGGTTGGGACATCCCTGCTAACCAGAGCGCAAGAGCAGAATCAGTGCCTGCCAATTCAATGAGGGAATAGCTTATCAATTGTAGCTCTCATCCTGCATGCATCAATCTGATACTCTGCTCCCCTCCAGACCTTTTTCATGTGCTTTCACGTTACTTCTTTTTTTATGTTACAGAAGCTTAAAAAAGAAACATAATATGAAGACAAAGTTAGATTTCCTGTGTCCCATTTGTTTCTTCCTGCAGGTTTTAAAGGGTTTCCCTGAGTGTCTGCAAGCTGATATCTGCCTTCATTTGAACCGCAGCTTGTTGCAGAACTGCAAAGCTTTTCGAGGTGCTAACAAAGGCTGCCTGCGGGCTCTGGCCATGCGATTTAAGACCACCCACGCTCCGCCGGGTGACACCCTAGTCCACAGTGGGGATATTCTCACTGCCCTATACTTCATTTCCAGGGGTTCTATAGAGATCCTCAGGGACGATGTGGTGGTGGCCATACTGGGTGAGCTGCAAGTTGCTAATAAAGAGCTTTTTATTATTACTTGTTAACACTTTAAGAAAAATCATTTCATTTTCCATTTAGTTAAAATAATTATGACCAGAATACAATTTTCAAGGTTAAACAAAAAAATTCACCTATTTTTGGGCAAAACCAGTTTAATTTGTTTATATTTATCTGATTATGAAATGTTTTTTAGCTGTTTTATTTTGCAGTCCTGTTTGTTTTCCACTCACTTGTTCTTTCTCTTCCTGCAAAGTCACAGCCAGAACTGACATTGGCCCTTAGTTCACATCAGCACACACTTGTGTGTGTGTGTGTGTGTGTGTGTGTGTGTGTGTGTGTGTGTGTGTGTGTGTGTGTGTGTGTGTGTGTGTGTGTGTGTGTGTGTGTGTGTGTTGTGTGGCCAGAGGTGTTTGGGCACAGCTCCACTTTCATTCCACAGCGATTGATCATCAATAGAGCCAGCACTGGCTTATCCAGGCTGCACAGGTCACATCTTTGTGGCTGTACTGCTGTGGATCAGGTCACTGTGGTGCATTCTTTTTTAATAATGCATTAAACATTAAACAAGAAAATAAATAAATAAAAGAACTGACATTACCCTGTTATTGCTTATACAAGGATGGGCTTGCCTAATTGAATTTTCCACTACTTTTGCTGTGATGTATGTAGGAAAGAATGACATCTTTGGTGAACCCATCAATCTGTACGAGAGGTCAGGGAAATCCAGCGCTGATGTCAGGGCTTTGACATACTGTGATCTTCATAAGATCCTGAGGGACGACCTTCTGGAAGTGCTAGACATGTATCCTGATTTTTCCAACATGTTCTGGAACAATTTGGAGATCACCTTCAACTTGAGAGACGTGAGTGCCACCAGGGGGCGTTGTTACACAGCATCCTGCTTGTGATTAGAGTTTAGAGTCATAGATTTATGTCTCAAGATCTATTCTGTTAGTAAAAACGTAGCAAATCAACTGAGATGTTGTCATCATGACATCATAAACATGCTAAAACTGCATTTTCTGCCCCGGTTTTAATCGGTCCCCTATGCCTTTCCTCTCTGTGATGAGTGTAACTTTGTGTGGGGTCACGCTTTTCTTTTAATTTCTTTTAAGGGTTAGGGCAGAAATACCTGCCTTTCTCTTTTGGAAACAGGAACTTCCAGTTTGATGATCTCTAGTGCTGTCAAGAAGATAAACTAGAACCATGTCTATCATTTCAAAGTAAATGAATCTATTACATTTTCCAAAATGCTCCCATATGACTTCATGACGTTGTTATTTCTTGTTATTTATAACTAATATTTATAACAGTACAATAAATAGAATAGAATTGCCCTTTATTGTCATTGCATGTGTACAATGAAATTGTGATCAAACATGTATAAAATGTCCATTAAAGACATTTCTTTTCATATATTACTCTGTCAGTCCTGAAATAATCACAGTGGCTAACTGGAGCCTTCCTGGTTTCTGAGTGTGGTGCCGTTTCAACTTAAAACTAAACGGTTTGGAAAAGCACTTAATGTGAGGGCCCTCCAGACAAACATGTAAATATAGGCAAAGTGTGCAGGAGGGTTTAGAGGCAGTATTGAAACTGGGGCATTTGAACAACACACTCAGTAAGCATTGTGCCACAGCGCTACAAGTGGTTACCAGTATCAGAGGTAATCTTAAGTGGTAAAATCATAAAGATCTCACCTAGATTTCTAAATATACTGATGGAAAAGGTGCTGTATGTTTCTTTTAAGCAGGAGATGTGGTTTGTAATTTTGAATTACTGAAGCTGATCTGTATCAGGTAGATAGAATAAACCAGACAACCCCAGGCAGGGACTCTGAATGTGGCTATCGTCTGACGAGGCATCGGAGAAGCTCACTGCGTCGGAGAAACAGGCCAGGTGAGTAAGGGACGCGGTCTAACGCCAAATGCTCCTGTATCAACTTATTGTCTTATTCCTATCTGAGCTGTGACTCTGTGTGGACAGACGGGATGGATCGTGAAGACTCTTACCCAGATCAGTCACGTTCGATGTCAAACCACCACCGGGGAACAATGGCAGGATCTCATTGGGAAGACCTCTGTAGCAGTGCTAGTATATGTTCACAGTCTAGTGATGAGGAAATGAAGCCCATAGGACACAGCAAAGGGGAGTTGTACCCCCATGCGGGTGATACCAGAGACTATCCATCCGCAGTAGTCAACCTTCTGCCTCACAGTGGACCTTCAGCTGGACTCGGCCCGCCTGTAGACCTTGGAGGACCTCCATACTCAGGTAAAATCCACTTAAAACACTTTTGGAGGCACAGAGAACACAAAAACTCCACAAATGTAAAATTTTATTCCATTTTAATTTGCTTTTTTTGGTTTGAATGCAGCACTGATAGATAAATAAAAAATAACTGTGGAGTAATACATTCGCATATTTTAACAAACATTTTTTCAAGAAATGATTGTTCTTTTACTTTTGCACAGCAGCAACCCCTATCAACATGCCAGGCCTGTATAGCTACTGGCCAGACCGCAGAGCAAGTCAGTTTTCAGACAGCCAGAGGCGGCCATCCTCAGTAAGGGCGAGTTTTCACCCTTCACCCTGTGCTGAAGATCGGCCCAGTGAGCTAGAGTCTCGATTGGAGCTGCTTCAGTCACAATTAAACCGGTAAGCTAGACTTATGTTGTTTTAGAATTAAAGAAATAAACAAAAAGGGGGCACCCGGATTTGAACCGGGGACCTCTTGATCTGCAGTCAAATGCTCTACCACTGAGCTATACCCCCGGTGCAGAGGCTCCTGGGAGGTGGATGCATTTGTCACTGTTGTCCCAAGGCAGTGTTTGCATTTCAGCTCCACCCTTTCTGTGTTTGCATATCAGTTTCCAGCTGAGTGCTTACTACATGGGGCTATTTTGCATGTGTGTGAGAGAAAAGGAGGAGTAAGAACAAAATAAACAGAGATAAGAAAGGGTCAGGGGTGAGACTGAAAATGTCCATCATGTATGTTTTCTTTTAACTGCCTGCCTGCTTCCACGTGAATGATCGTGATGATTCTATAGCGACAGATAGAGAAAAGTGTGTTAACACTCATAATGCTTTATAGAAGTGTTCTGACCAGGATCAAATCATAGAAATCAAAGAAAAAATGTGTGAAAGAGTCTTGAAGCCATATATCTTTATCTTCTTGTCTTGTCCAGACTGGAGACCCGTATGACTGCAGACATTAATGTGATCCTGCAGCTCCTTCAGAGACAGATGGCTCTGGTGCCTCCGGCCTACAGCGCTGTGTCCCCCAGCCCTCACCCACCTCATCCCACCACACTGTACAGCACGGGCACACCCACAATCCACACCGTCCCTCCAAAGCAGCCACCACAGATCGACAGCACTGCCTCATTACTCCAGGTGCTTTACTTATCATATGCTATGTGCAATAAGATTGCTCCTCTATAGTCATTACTTTTTTTGACACTTTTGCCAGAAAAACTATTTAAGCAATTCAATTCAGTTCATCAGAGTTGAAAAAGAAAACAAGAACTTAAGACATCCATAATCCTGAAAGGAAAAAGAATAACAGAGATATCTGATAAATCTACAAGTCGAACGATGATTGTTATCTCCAGGTTTCAAGATAACAGACTGCCTTTTCGCCCCAATCATCATTTATGTCTTGCATTATCTGTAGCAAGAGATCAGTTAATGCAGGATCTTTCTTCCTTGCTTTTGGATTCAGAGCACTTTTTTTGAGCCCAAAACATCCATAATATTAAACTATTTTTTAAAATTAGACTCTAAAAAAGATTCTGACCTTTGTGTCCCGCAGAACATCAGTCAGGCCGTTTATTTAATATAATTAAATTATACACTACATACATCTAATCTTGTATGAACTAATACTTCTCTGTCTTTCCAGAGTCCAGACTCTGACTGCAAGCACAAATCCAAGGATTCCCTGTCCAGCGGGATCCATCTAACTGTGGCATCAGATGACACCATGTCCATGTCACCAGAGGCAGACCGACCACATCTACCCTCTGTCGACCTCACTCCTCCTCAGATCTTCTGCTCTGGAGACCAAGAGCCTTCGGGACTTCTGTGCGGCATCCAGCGCTTCCCCTCTCTCCCGGAGCACCTGGAGATCTCCACAGAAATGCAGGAGATCCAGAGGCATGTGTCTGATCCTGTCCTGCCGGGCAGCTAGAAGAGCTATCACTGACCCTCACACCCTACAGCCTGGTACTTTGGACAGTACAGCCATATTTTCCCCACATCGGTACTTCCTTCCCATTTAAACCTCCTCTCCTGTTCAGATGCTGCTGTGGAGCGTGGGATGCCTTGCCTTTCACATCACAGAGGGTACACAGTGTCTCGAGTTTCTCAAGCACAGACCGAACAATGCCCTCAAGGCTGCTGTAGTTTTGTGCTCCAGCATCCCATCACTCCCAAAGTCCTGTGCAATAAAGAGCAGGATGGTGCACTGACATCTACAGGACATGCCAAGCAGTCACTGGATCTCAAAGCTACACCAACCGCTCCTACATGGAGGCGTCCTTGAAGAGAAGTGAAATGACAAGAAAGAATTAAGAGGTTTCACGTTTGAAGAATTATCTGCAGTCACTTTGTGTAAGAATTGCACATTTAGATTTGAACATAGAAAACTATAATCAGCTATTTGGAAATGAAATTATTTTCATATTGCAAATATTTATAGGTACATTCAGGACCATGCACTTAGTAAATGTAACAACTGTGAGTGGTTTAGGTTCAGTGTTTTGTCGTTGTTGTGTATGTTTAAAAATATCAAAAAGTCGTACAATAACTGTCTCACACACCGTGAAGGATGACGATTTATGGCAGACGTAGGAGAAAGCGTCGTTTTCATCTCATATTTCCTGTTGCAGCATTTTGATGTGAATGAAAACGTGTCAAGCGTGTCATGAGAAAATATTAGAATATACACAATGAAGCAGCACAGAACAAAACAAAAAACGCCAACGTTTCATGTACATTTAAATATAGCTCTTACAGTTTTGTTTTTGGTCACGAATGCTTTGATTGCTCCCGTTTCTGTGTTTGTTTATCCGCTCACCTCAGACGTGTGTCGACTATTTCTCAAAGCAGCGTGGTCACACGGTGTCGTAACGCTCCTGATGTGTTTATCTGAAAGTGCCAACAATGAAGGACTTGTTCTCTCAGTTATTTTGACTCGCAGTGGACAAACCGCACCCTGGACGCACGTAAAGGGAAATCAGCTTAGTGGCAATTGAAGTGGATGGTAACTGTCAATCGCATACAGGCGCAGAGACGACGTCTAAATGTGCGCCGAGATGATCTCTCAGTTTCAGCCACGGGGTGAATGTAATGACCTATTAAGCATTTATAATTCTGTGAAAGGCTTCTTCAAGCACAGATTCCTGTTATTTGTCTTTTTTAGATTAAAGACACACTGCAAAGTTACTTCCTTTTGTTTTCCAAGTAACTTACCCGAGCGCTGGGATAATAACTGCAATGCCAAATGAAACATTGCAAACACTTCAAAATAACAGAACACACTAAAGCTAAGCTTTTCAATGAATATATAATATATTGTCATTTAGGAGGACGGGTTTTCCTAAATATTGTACACCTCTGCCCGATCAACAAGTTGTAAGAATACGTGTATAAAAGCAAAAAATCTTGATGTAAATTTGGCCAACCTCACATTCAAGGTCAACTTTTTTTGCACTTCTGCACCGTTTTCAATTAGGCTGATGTTTTCAGGTCTCTCAAAGGAAGGCCGCTTATGTCCCCTTGCTGTTGTGTCACTTGCAGTGGCAGCTGGATGTCCTCTAATGTGTCAAAACAGCAATCCTGCAAAGCCAAGGGGAGCAGGTGATGAGGAAGTATGACGCGTGTGGCCAAAGAACTCAGGGCATCACACTAGAACTCCTTGTTGATAGTCTCACACTCGGGACAACTTTATAGTGCACAACAGGATGAAGCCAGTTTAGTATCCTCCTGGGCTTCCTCTTAACCCGACATGTGAAAAGGAAACTGTCCACTCTTCACATGAAAACTGATGAAAAAGCTCAGTTCCTGGAAACCCAGCTTCTGTTGCCAGTGGTGATCCGCCGCTCAAAATTTGGGTCAGTGCAAAAGAAAAGTTCATGTTTAATTTCTGTGACAAATTTAAAGCATGTGCCCAGCATAAGTGGTCATAACGTGACTTCTAGGGAGTGATCTAAATTTATCAGCTGCACAGAAAGCTGAGTGGAAGAGCAGATTAGCCCAATTTAAAATTGGAAGGCTGCACCTTTCAGAATTTTCAGGAGGAATAGTAGTAAATTCTTATGAAAAGCAAGTATCAGACCTTAAAATTATTGATGGGAAGTGCAATGTTGAGGTTTTTTTGCACTGAAAAAAAAAGCTACCTCTTTTACAAGAACAGTGTTTTTGACCTATCAGGGAACTGACAACTAAGAAGAGAAAATGACAGTATTGCACCTGTAGGGGGTATAGCTCAGTGGTAGAGCATTTGACTGCAGATCAAGAGGTCCCCGGTTCAAATCCGGGTGCCCCCTCTTTTCACCCTTCTACCAACACAAACTGAAATTATGTTTATTGGAGAGAGGCAACTGAGCGTAAGGTGAAAATGACCCCGAACTGTAAATAGACAGCTCTGGCTCTCTGAGAACTGCAGGATGAATGTGCTGACAGCAGTAGCTTTCTAAATAGATTAACTCGTGCCATGCAAAGGCAGCAACAGTAAAATGATCTTACAAAAGCTGGGGGGCAAAAAAGAAATAAGGCAACACAAGGCTTAGTTTGTAAGACATGGAGGAATACAATTTATTTGAGTAAATTCCATATTAAACTTTATGAAAAGAAAAAAAGACTACGGCATGAACACTTGTCTTACAAACAACTTGAGTTGATATATTTATATGTATGTACAATTTGTCTTGTAATGGCATGCTACAAGGACATGACCCTTTAATTACTGAAAACAACAACAAAAAAAGAGGCAGACATAAACAGTCAGAAAGTTTTTTCCTCCCATTTTTACAGCTCACGCGTATGGAAAAAAAAAATGCAGCTTTCCAAGCACAACTTTCTACATGTAAAAATAAGACAAAGAGGAGAATAATTGAATAATTGGGGGGTGGGGGCAATAAAAGGTTGAACAACATTGCTCTGGTAGGTTTTGAGTGCTGCTGTACACGGTTGCTTCACAGCATCGCCAGCCGAACTAAAACACAACATATGATGACACACCACTGCAGTGACAACATGAACCCTCTCAGGTTATTTTACATTTTTCGAAAAGTTGCACCAGTCACAAGCTTGAGGCTGGGCACAGTCATCTGAAGAGAGTACATACACCCAAATTTAACAGCTTTAATTGCCACAAGGGTAAACAAGACTGCAATATATTAATCCTCGAATTATCGATAAAAAGGTATGCATTCACGAGAAAGGCTACAACATATTCCTACATATTAGAGAGGCCATCTTCTGGCACCTACAGTAGCTGGTATCAACCTTTAGAAAGGAAACAGATGAAATGTACAAGGAAGGTAAACCCTTCATGAATATCACACGGCTGGCTACAAATCACACCGAGGAGTACAAAAATCGGACTTTCATACGCAGCAGCTCAAAGCACTCGTGTCTCTTCCAGCTGCTGAACACTACCATGTGAGCAAAATAAATAAGTGCTTAAACACGGTTAATATAACAGTAAAGACATGGAAAAAACATTGTAAACCAGGTTATTGCGGAGCAGGTGTTTAATATTCCAAACACATTCAGAGAGTTCACTCGACACCTCATCCTCGTCTTGAAAACGTAGGAATGAGAACGGAAAAAAAAGTCCACATCTGAAATGGCGCTCCTTCTCCGTGACTTCACACACGCAGGATCTCCAGGCAGTTGTTATAGCAGATGGCGATCCAGTCCGGCTGCGTGGAGGCCCACTGCACGTTGTTTATCTCGCCTTCGGCGGTGTAGGCCAGGATCGGGTCCTCGATGGCCCGTGGCATCTGTTGGATGTCCCAGATCAGGGCCTGGTGGTCGTCAGCTTAGAGGAGACGGAAAGAAAAGGGAACAATAAAATGTAAACAATCAATTAATGAATTTTTTAAAAAAAAAGAACAGAAAAGGAAACCCGGGAAGCAGGCAAAGCAGAGATATCGGTGCTGAGGTGGAAATAAAATGTTTAAGTGCTTCCTCTAACATAATTATGCCAGGGCTGGGCAAAATAACTTTAAAGAAAATGTAACAAAATGAGCACACTGCTAATATTGAATTTTCTTAAAAGCAGCAAAGAACGGTGCACCTTTCTATCCAGACCCTGGCTTAAAGCTGGAAAACTGCTGTTCTGATCTATTCTGACGTGATGATGTGCGGCAGAGTCATCTTAAATCGTGAATCGAATCTTTGTTATACTTTCTACAGCAACGAACACAACATTTGGATAACTGCTGCACTGAATATTTGGCCTATCCACGGGCTTTTTATGACCGATTTTATTAACTTAATCACTGACATACTGACAACAAAGAGAAGGTTGTTTCAGTTACCACAAAAAAAGAAAAAAAACTAAATGGGAAAGGCAAAGCACTCTTCTTTAAAGAGAAGTCTCGCCCAACACACTTTTAGAAAACTAAAGTGTTTTTATTAAATATCGTTTTGTATTTCTGCCCAAACTTATTTTAAGTAGACAAATGTTGGTTTTGGTTTTAAAGTAAAATCATTACACTTTGTTAAGGTCATGGTTTACAAGACAAATCAAATCATTTATGCAATATTTCATGTCCTAAAATACGTGAGACTCGGTACAGAAAAACCACCCATAAAGAAACAGCCTGACACTGTCAAGAAAAGGAATTTCCGATAATTCTAATGTTTGTTATCTCAACCTCACGGTCTGCAAAACATCTACAATAAACTGTAAATAGAATAGAATAATCATTTAATTGTCCCACAAGAGGAAATTTGGTAAATAAACCATGCACTATTTCGCTCCATATCCTCATCCAGCAAACATTTTGGCTATAAGGGGAAACCCCCGCTCACGGCGTGGGGAGTGAGTGCAACATTCAGTATTTATCTATTTGCATTTTTCCTAAAACAAAATAATTCAAAGAACGGACACAGTTTGCTATTTCAAATTAAAAATTCTGAAGAAACGAACAAAGACCGATCAAATCTGTTTTTGCATGTTAATCTAGATGTTTTGACATTTAAAAAGAAATCTAAAAAAAATAAGTTTTGTAAAAAAAAATGTGAAGACAAATAAATGAAAGTGAACTTTGGGTTTTTGCATGCTGTGTCGCTTGTTTTCACTGTTGCTTGGCAGTAGGTAATGCACCTCCCTTGCTCAAATATGGTCGAAGCTGTTTGCCAAATATCATAAAACCACAAAAATAAAATAGCATGTTATAATCTTTTACATAATGCACCAATTAAACATTTCATGGCCCCTAACATCAGAAGCAGGACATACGACTACAGTCAAAAGCCTCAATTATAGCCCGTTACAGACATGGACAGGTGGAGATTTGATGGCCAAATAATCATGACTGTTACACTTTTTTGTAGTGTGCTTGAAGTCTGCTGCTTGTGGTAGATGGAGCGTGTTTGTAGTTTGTGGAAATGGAACAACAGTATTTAATGGGCCAAGCACAACATTTCACAAATTTCCCACTGAAGGATAAAGCCCCACTAAATGGTTAAATTACCCACACGTAGTTTTTTTCATATTGTATATGTCGCTATTTGTCTTAAGCATATCAAAATACAAGTGAATGACTTTGTAGCATGAGTCCTGGTTTTCTGTTTCTAAGAAAAGATAAGTTAATATTACAAATCAAAATCCAGCATATTGGTATCTTACAAGCCTTTAAAAACACAAATATAAACTTCTAGTTAAACACTGAAGTGTGTTATTTTACGTCTTAGCGGTACCTGAGATCACACATCTCCGTGAGTGGTTCTAATTTTACTGAAGGCCTGCTTGCAGTTTGCTTACCTGCGGTGCAGATGTGACATGAGGAGTGCGGTGCCCACGCGATGCCGTTAACACAAGCGCGATGGTTGTTCAGCCGAGCCACTGGAGTGCAGGGCACGCGTACGTCCAGGATAACCACCTATTAAACAAAAAGATTTCAAATTAAATAATAATAAAACTATTTTCCTCAAACAGATAAAATGTGGCCTGATGTTACAAAATGGCTAAGGTCTTTCTGGGAATCTCCTTCTGCTGAGGTATTTAATGGAAAACTCTGGAAGAGGTACTTTGATAATTACATGCCCCAAAAAATCTAAATGTTACTTTTTTTGCTCCCTAAAACAAACAAACAAAAAAAAGTGTTATAGTATTTTAAAGCAAACCCACCTCCATGCCGTCCATGGCCATCGTGGCCAGGTAGTTGGGGTCCTGTTTGTTCCAGCAGAGACGGAGGAGCGGGTGGTGC